CATGCTTCTGCATTTCCCTCCGAGCTGAGTTTCCCTCAGTTTCCTCACCCACGTGTGTGCGGCAGTGAGGAAGAGGAGGGAGGGATGTGTGCAGTGCTGCTGGGCACGGCTGGCAGGGAATGGGCACAGGGCAGGAGAGCAGAGCTGGGCTGGCTGGGGCACAGCAGCTGCTCTGCACAGGGAGCTGCAGGGATTGGGGCTGAGGGATGTGCAGGATGTGCTCCCTGCAAGGGGATGTTGTGCTGATCCATCCGGGCCGGGAGCACAGCCAGCTCTCACCTTGTTTAATTCTGCATTTCCACTGGCTGTGCTCAGGGACTGCTGGAGCACACGTGCTGGGCCCTGTCCCTGTCCCTGCAGGGTTTGTCCCTTGGCAGTGCCTCCCTGAGGGGCTGCTGGAGCGTCCTGTGTCCCCCAGCTGTGCCCGTGTGACAGATGTGAGCAGGGAACAGCTGGGCTTGGCTGGGGCGAGGCTTCAGCTCCGTGTGACCCAGCCCTGCCGTGGCAGGGACTCCTCCCCTGCCCCGGGGGCTCCCAGCCCCGCTGGCAGTGCCCGGGACCCGCAGCTGCTCTGGGCACCCTGTGCCAGGGCCTGGCCCTCGGTGCACTTGTCCCCCTGTAGCTGTGTGAGCTGCCCGGGTTTTGGCTCAGAACCAGTGGATGTTGGCATCACCACGTCCCAGCTCACTGGACTGAGCTGCTCTTTCCTTGAGGCTTTTCCAGCACACACTTGGTTCAGTTACAGGAAACAAATTCTGCTTGACTCATCGTTCTGGGCTTTGTTTAGCACTTGAGCCCCCACTTAATTACTTTCATCCTCTCACAGGCATCAACACCTTTTTTTGAAATGATTCTTGGAAAAGGGAGTTTCCACACTGAGTTGTGATTCTGAAGGAAACTTTGCTGGCTTGACACTTGGACACTTGAGCTGCCCCAGCTCTGGGATCTCAGCAGTGTTTTTTCAAGTTATTATTTTGTTCTTAGTTACCTGTGCTTGCTGCCCTGTGAGGTCCCAGCCATTCTGGAGGGTTCCTATGTGCAGTTTCCCCTGTACCACTTATTGCCAGGCAAATTGGAGCTGGAAGAATTGCAATTTCATCTTTTGTTGTTGTTTTTTGGGAAGGAGAAGGATTGGACAGGAAGGTCTCACAGATGTGTGTGTGTAACAGAAACATCTTTGAATGTAGAATTTGAAGAAGGAATAGAAATGAAAGCAGGTTTTGATATGGAAGAACAGAATTGCTGAGCCAGTCTGACTGGGTAAAAGAGCAAAGTGAGTTGGGAGGGGCTTTTATGGCTTAGAGCAAAGGATAAATCCACCTTAAATAAAAGATGTTTTTACCAAGCAAAAAGCCAATGTTGCAAGTAGAGAAAAGATCTCAGAATTTTCCATTGCAAGAAAACTGAAAAAAAACCTTCCAGCTTAAACTGTAACATTCTAACCTTTAGTGACTGGAGTTTAGTACCATGAATGTGGCAATGCCAGCAGTTAGGACAGGCTGTAGGTGATAGTGAAGGTATTGATTGGTTGTCAGGTATTCAGATGCTCTGCAATGAAAAGTCTAGAATGCATTGGAACCAGAACTGGAGAGGCTTCACACAAACCCCCAGCTGTGGCTGACAGGTGTGGGCTGGGCTCTTGTCACTACCTGGGAATTGCTGCATCCTCTGGATACAATGAACAGCTTTTAAAATAATAAATAAATTGCTGGATCATTTGGATACAATGAACAGCATTTAAAATAATAAATAAATGGCTGGATCATTTGGATACAATGAACAGCATTTTAAAGAGCCATTCTGGAGCCCCCATCCCTCATTTCAGCTCTTACAGTTGTTGTTGTTGTTGTTGTTGTGTCTCCAAATTGCATAAATGTTGTCACGTTTCCAGTTTCCCCCTCTAATACTGGCACAGCTCAGCTTTTCCCGTGGTGAGCCCTGTGCCACAATTCCCTGTCAGCCCCCCCGGGTCCTGCTGTCCCGCAGGGCTGCAGGCAGAGCCGTGTGCAGTTTCCCGGTGTGATTTTGGGTTCGTGCTGTGTTGCAGTGACCCGGCACAACCACCTCAAGGACTTCATGCTGGTGGTGTCCATCGTCATCGGCGTGGGCGGCTGCTGGTTCGCCTACATCCAGAACCGCTACTCCAAGGAGCACATGAAGAAGATGATGAAGGACCTGGAGGGGCTCCACAGGGCTGAGCAGTCTCTCCATGACCTGCAGGAGAGGTGGGTGCACTGTCCGTGTTCTTCCTGCAGGCTCCTCGTTCCTTTGGGTCTCAGGAAATGTTTGTTTTAGCTCTGCTGCTGCCCCGCACCAGAACCAGCTCCTTCCTCAGGGACGGCAAAGCTGCAGCAGCCTCTGGCTCCTCCTGCTGGGGCTCCTGGAGCAGGCTGTGTGCAGGCATCACACAGCCAGGGGATGCTTTGGGCCCAAAGGCACCTTAGAGAGCTCCAGCTGCTGCCCTGAAACCCAGCTCCTCTGGAATTTATCATCCCAGGTGGTTTCATCCAACCCAGCTCCTCTGGAATTTATCATCCCAGGTGGTTTAATCCAGCCCAGCTCCCGTGGAATTTGTCACCCCAGGCTGTTTCACCTTGGCCTGTGATGGAGAAAAAGCATGTTGGATCAGTGGGAGCACTCAGAGGATTTGCACATCCTCTCTTGAATTCTTGGAGCTGTGTGGGGGAGCAATACCTGAGTTGAAGGGTGTTGCTTGGAAAGTGAAAAACTCCATCATTTTGATATTAAATAGGAATACCTGAGCTTTTGGCATATGGATCCAGTCCCACAGCCTCAGGAATGGGGTCTCTACTCCCAGGAATCCCTGCAGTGGTTCCAGCAAAGCTCCTGATGGGAGAATGTGCCCCAAGAGACCCTCTGGACACAGGGATCTCCTGGGGCAGGGAAGGAACCTCAGCCCTGGTGATGACAAACCCATGGGTGCTCTGGCAGTGGAATATTTTAAGGGCAGATTTAGCAAATGACAGAGCAGGATAGTCTGGGGCTGGAAGGATTTTCTGTGAGGTTTCAGTGGAGTTTGGGAGGATAAACATTAACTAGGCTGCCCTGTGAGCTGATGGCTCCGTTTCTGTGCACACAGAGCTGGGTGCCAGGTCCTCATCCTGGCCAGTCAGGGCTGGGCTGAGGGCCCTGTGCAGGCTCCAGGCTGCCCTGGGGCAGGTCTGGGGGTCTGTGCACTGTACCCCCAGCTCTGCAGCCCCATTCCCATTGCCTGCAAGGCCATTGCAGCTGCAGGGGTGCCTGCTGCCCCTGGGTGTTGCTGGAAAGGCTCCTGGTCCCCCAGTCTGGGAGGGGAGAGAGCCCTGGGGAGCTCCCAGGGGATGGAGCCACCCTGGGCACCTTCCCCTGGCACGGAGTGCACTCCCCTCTGTGGCTCCAAGCCACAGCTCCTCGTGGAGTCTGGAGTTTGTTACAGCTTGGAAACACTCCCAGGGAAAGTTGGATGGATTTTTTCAGCATCTGGAAGGAGACAGGAACCCCTTCCCCATGTCCATCCCCTGCAGCAGCAGTGTCCAGGGCTCAGCTGGGTGTCACCTCCCAGCTCCAAACTGGGAATGTGCCTGTGGGGAACGACCTTGGGCCCTGCAGGAGGGCAGAGGCACTCTGTAAACAAGTGCCTGTTCCTGGGGAGTTCAGCTAATGCTCTAAAGCCCCTCAGGAAGAAACACAAAACCACGGGGACTCGGCAGGGCTCGTCCTCCACAGAGGGCACCGAGCAGGAGCTCAGGGCCTGGGAGGTGAACTGGGGACCTTGGGAGGCCTTGGAGGGGAAATATTCCAGAAATATTCCAGAAATATTCCTTCATTTCCTCATCCTTGCCCAGTGGGGCTCAGCTGGGGTCTGCAGCTGCCACAGGAGCAGCAAAAGCCCCGACAGCCCCCGTGCTCCTGGACTGGTGAGAAGCTGTGCTGCAGTTCTGCTCCCAGATTTCTCTGCAGAGATTGGAGAGCCCTGCTGTGCTGCCTGGGGGAAGCTCAGTGCTGAGCAGACCTCTGGGAGGCTCAGGATGCCTCTCCAGTGCCACTGCTGCTGGAATTTGCTGAGCAGCTCAGACATGAGAACACTGACAGCAAACCCCAGTGTTCGTTCAACTTCAGAGCACCTTGGAGAACATCCTGCAGCACTGACAATTCCCAGTCCATTCAGTGACTCCCCAAGGCTTGGCACATCCTGAAGGGGGTGGGCAGGGCTGTTCTGGGGATGTGTGGATTGTGTGGCAGCTCCTGGACTGTGAGCTGCCCCAGCAGCTGTGCCCTGGATCCCTGGCAGTGCCCAGGCTTGGGCACTGGGGCTGGGAGCAGCCTGGCACAGTGGCAGGGGTGGTCTCACCTGCTGGTTCCCGGTGCTGGGGGTGGTTCCTTCTCACCTCAGGAGTCTCTGCCTCGGCCACTGCCCCGAGCCAGGTGCAGCAGCCACCCCTGGAACCACCTGAGGCTCTCGTGGTGCCCCTGGTGCAGCTTGGCCAGGTGCCCGAGCATGGCCCCAGCCTTGCCTGGTGCCCCTGCCCTGCTCAGCTGAAAACAACCACAATGACCTGGTCCTGCTGGGCAGAGCTGGATCTGCTGGGCACAGCTGGATCTGCTGGGCAGGGCTGGATCTGCTGAACACAGCTGGATCTGCTGGGCAGGGCTGGATCTGCTGAGCACAGCTGGATCTGCTGAGCACAGCTGGATCTGTTGGGCACAGCTGGATCTGCTGGGCACAGCTGGATCTGCTGGGCAGGGCTGGTCCCTGTCCCCCTGCCCTGTCCCCAGAGCCAGCCCAGCAGTGGCCCTGTTGCTCTGTGTGCATTGCAGGCTGCAGAAGGCACAGGAGGAGCACAGATCCGTGGAGGTGGAGAAGGTGCACCTGGAGAAGAAGCTGCAGGACGAGATCAGCATTGCCAAGCAGGAGGCTCATCGGCTGAGGGAGCTGCGAGAGGGCACCGAGAACGAGCTCAGCCGGCAGAAATACGCAGAGCAGGAGCTGGAGCAGGTAAACACTCACCTGGGGATCCCCCACTGACACTGAGGGCACTGAGGGCACTGCTGCCTCCTCCCTCTGGGAAATCATGGAGACACAGAATGCCTGTTGTGGGAGGGACCTTAAACCCCCCCAGAGCCACCCCTGCCCTCCCACTGTCCCAGTGTCCAGCCTGGCCTTGGGCACTGCCAGGGATCCAGGGGCAGCCACAGCTGCTCTGGGCACCCTGTGCCAGCCCTGCCCACCCTGCCAGGGAACAATTCCTAATT